ACTACTACTACTACTACTAGTACTACTACTACTACTACTTCTACTACTACTACTACTACTACGACTACTACTACTACTACTACTACTACTACTACTACTACTACTACTACTACTACTACTACTACTACTACTACTCTCTTCCTGCTCCTCCCTACAGCCAGCAGGGGGCGTGATTGCAGTCGAGTTTGATTGAGGAGGACACGCGAGAGGACACAAGACCATTCCGAGGGCCACGTTGTCACAGGAAGGTAGAAGGCATGGGTCTCGAACCACAAGACACACGAAGGTTCCATTGACTTGGCAGTGTCGCCCTACGAGTCAAACTGGACCGCAGAAGGGCCCTCAGGCCTCTTCGGCTTGGATGCCTGGGGGGACTCCTGAGAAGCTGCCCGCCCTCTCAAGTAGCTGCCCCCTCCCCCGCCTTCTCAGACGGGGCCGCCCCCCATCCGCGACCCGCCCCTCGCGCGCGCCGTCAACAAGTGTGGCGCAGGCTGCTTCCTCGGGGGTTGCTCGAAGTGCCCCTGGCCCAAGGTGCCCCCAGGATTTCCCAAGGAGGCCCCCACGGTCTCCAGAGCATTCCCTCGCGAGGCCCAGAAGGCCCCAAGGGGTCCAAAAACTGAGCGAAAAGCTGGGTTACCTTGGGCCCGCGCCCGTGGCAACCCCCGACTTCCCTCTACCTTGGGGGAAACGGGTCCTGAGGGAAACTGGCCTGGACACCGGGGCCTTCCCCCAGGACGAATTTGTCACCCTGAACCATTTTCTGACGGTCCCGGGGCCCGCGGAGGGTCCCGAGAGCTCGAAAACGGTGAAAAACCTTAGGCCTTAGGGCCCGTTTCCCTCAGGACCCGCTTCACCCATGGCGAAGATTGGCGGCGCGCGCAAGGGGGTAGGGTGAGGGGGAAGGGCTCCTTAGAAGGAGGCTGCTTCTCAGAAGCTGCTGGCCTTACTCAGGCCCGCGTCTCCTTGGAAGCAGGGGCGTGCTCCTAAGATGACTACCTACCAGACCACCCCAACCCAACCCGAAGACCCGAATTTCGGGTTGGGGGGGGGGTAAGGGTTCCACACGTGTTTTTTCGATGTTTCCCGACCCCCCCCCCCACCCCACTGGAAATCGAGGGTGAATCTGAGCCTTCGGGTTGGGTTGGGGTGGTTTGGTGGGTGGTGATAAGAAGCCTTCCCCCCCTCCCCCTACCCCCCCTCTGCGCGTGGCCGACAACGAGCGTGGCGCAGGCTGCTCCCCCTTCCTACTTCTCTCGGGGGAGCGCCCGCGGCCCCACGAGCAGCGCCCCGGGCAGGGACGCCGCAATTCTGGCCCGGCCCTCCCTCCGACCACCACGCCGCCCTCCTCCCCCAGAGGAGGAGAGGAGGAAGAGGAGGGAGGAGGAGGAGGAGGAGGAGGAGGAGGAGGAGGAGGAGGAGGAGGAGGAGGAGGAGGAGGAGGGAGGAGGAGGAGGATGAGGAGGAGGAGGAGGAGGAGGTGGATCTGTGTCTTCCCCCCTCACGCCCTATTCTTGGAAACGCGGGCGCCCACGCGCCACCCTGCGCGGGCAGCCTGCTTGCGCGAACGGCGGCCGCCTCCTGTGCCGCCTCACGGCGGCAAAGACAGCAGCGGCACCACCGGGGCGCTCGGGCGGACCGCGCCGACCACCGTCAGCGAGTCGGCATCCTGCCGGCAGGGGCAGGATCAGTCGTCGTCGAAGCGGGGGCACCCGATCGGAACAGGAGGAGCGTCCGATCGGGCTGCCTCGGCACAGAGCCGGGAACGAATCGGATCGGCCTCGCCAGGACGCACAAGATCCACAACAGACGCAAAAAGACTTCCAAAAGACCTCCTCCTCCTCCTCCTCCTCCTCCTCCGCCTCCTCCTCCTCCTCATCACCCCTCCTTCTCCTCCTCCTTGTCCTCCTCCTCCTCCTCCGGCCCCTCCTCCTCGTCAACCTCCTTACTCCGCATCCTCATCTTCTCACCCCTGTAGTTCCTTACCGCTTCCCTTCTCCTTGGAAGCCTCATCCACTTCCTCGTCCTCCAGATCATCCTGCACGTCCTCGCAGAGCACACCCCCGTCGCCAAACATCGACGGTGGCGCCGGACGGGACAGATCTGCAGGCACTCAGATGCGAAACGCAATCCAGCATGTGAGATGGCGGCCCGTCCCACGTGTTCCTCAAAAACATCCGGCACCCAAGTCCCGACAACATTCTAAGAACTCAACCGCCCTCCAACGTTGACCGCAGTCACTGCAGCTCCCACCTGGACATGCCAACCCCGTGGACCTCCTCGCTCTTCTGGGGGCCAGCGGGATAGCGCAAGCCTCTTGAACAGCAGTAGTACAAAGAAGAGGAGGAGGACAAGGACGAGGAGCAAGTGGAAGAAACGCACTCGGCCACGCCGCTACGCTCGCTACTAGTGCGAAGCCTGCCCCGGGTAAGAAGGGGTCCATGGCAACGGTGGTTGCAACGGTGCGACGTATTCGATGCTGACGCTGACTTTACAACAATGACGGGTCCTCAAACCCTTTGCACATTTCAGCACGAAATCACTCGGTGCAACATTGATGAGATCGATGCAAGAGAAGCAATATTGCCGCGGTGACGGCATGACCTGTACTGGCAGACGTTGTGATGCATCGTGCGGCCACTGTCCTCCTCCACTCCTTTTCCTGATACCAAATTTCTCCCTGTCGCACCCCGAAGGCAATTTCCACGGCGGGCTGGGTGCTTCGCCGGAGACTTTCTCACCACGTATGACCCTGAGGCTTAAACATTGGCAACACGTTTACAGATGGAGGGCGGGCCGTGTTCAAAATGTGGTTTTCGCCTTAGCGCCGCATGCGTTCGTTTTAACCATTCGCAAGAGGTTCACGGAGTGATGGCGACCGGTTTTCAAAATATATGGCTCGCGCCTTAGCGCCGCGTACACTCGGGCTAAACATCTGCCATCATTCCGCGAATTGAAGGCGATTTCTTTACAACATGTGGCTATTGCCTTAGCGCCGCCCTCATTCGTTTTTTAACATGTGCAAGAGTTTCACATATTCCCATGATCAACATACCTGAAACGGTGTGTTGGAAGGGTTCCGGATCATGAGGGTGCAACAGTTAAGTTGATTCGCGGTGTTGAAAGAGTGGCGCTCTGGCACAATTTACGATCGTCAAGACACAACCGTCAGGTTGATCCGTGGCGTTGGAATCCCGAAAACAATGTTTTGCCATGCTTCAGGGTCTTCAAACGGCTGTCTTCCAACGAGGCAGTTTCCTGTGGAAATGAACCATTGTACGAGCCTATGAAGAGGGAGTTTGGAAGGAGGGTTTACTCTAACATCGTTGAGGACTCTTGGGATTACGCTGGTCCTGCTGCTGCTGCTGCTGCTGCTCCTCCTCCTCCTCCTCCTTCCCCTTCCCCTCCCCCTCCTCCTCCTCCTCCTCCTCCTCCTCCTCCTCCTCCTCCTCCTCCTCATACCTCCTCCTCCCCCTCCTCCTCATACCTCCTCCTCCTCTCTCCCTCCCTCTGCCCTGCTCAGCCGCCTCCTCCTTCTCCTTATTATCCCCCGTCCTCACCCGCCTGTCTGGTCATTCCTCCTCGTGTCCCCTTCCTCCCCTCGAGGCGGCCCCAGGGCTTCCCCCCAAGACCAACTCTTCACCCTGAGCAGCTGTTGACAGCCCCAGGACCCAAGAACGGCCCCCAAAACCAGAAATCGGCCAAAGACCTCCAGGACCCGCTTCCCTCGATACCCGTTCGCCCCCCTCTTGGCGACCTAGTCATCCTCCCTCGCCTCCTCCTCCTCCTCCTCCTCCTCCTCCTCCTCCTGCTCCTCCTCCTGCTCCTGCTCCTGTTCCTGCTGCTGCTCCTGCTCCTGCTCCTGCTCCTGCTCCTGCTCCTGCTCCTGCTCCTGCTCCTCCTCCTCCTCCTCTTGGTTCATGGTTCATCCCTGGGCGGCCGCCTGCAGCTGCAGGCGAACGCCGCTAGGTCACAACACTACGCGGCACCTCAGTACTCCGCGCAGAAGAATACCAAACCCACGCAGATGTGCCCGCTCCCTGTATAGGGCCACGCGGGCAGTGCACCAGGTCCAGTCTCGATACCTGACAAAGCACAAAGCCTCCAGTACCGCGAAACGAAGCCCTCGTCGATGCGCCCGCTCCCTGTATAGGGCCACGCGGGCGATTCACAGGGCCCAGTACTGATACTAGACAAAGCCTCACGCCTCTAGTACCACGAAAAGAGATGCAATCAGCCATCGCATCCACGAGCTGAACTCCCAAGCCAACCACAAGATCAACGCAGGAATCCAGCAAAACAGGCAATGAGCCGCTGCCGCACGCTGTTGCCAACCCGCGACCGGGTCCAACGTGCTGGTGCCCAGGGCAGCAGAAACGCTGCCGCACGCTGTTGCCAACACGTGACCAGGTCCAACGTGTTGGTGCCCAGGGCAGCGGACTCACCACCGTGGCGACACGAACCATGCTCACCAGGGTTTCTGGATGCAAGCACAGCAAGAACATCCACTGGTCAAAGCAGGCGAGATCATCACCTCCTCCTCCTCCTCCTCCTCCCCTCCTCCTCCTCCACTTCGCAGGGGCATGGTATCGCATCCTGGTGCCAGCGCCCTTGTGCTAAGGCCACCATTTCAAGGATGCTCGCATGGGCGTGGGAGCATGGTAACCGGCCGTTCTCGTGTGAGGTGGGGCTCGGTTCCTTCGCAACATCTCTTTGTTGAAGATGGGCCACAAACGAGACGACACCACCCCACCTACGGCACGACGGTGTTGGAATTTCAAGCACTTGCCCCGTGCAGCCTGGGCTTGTTATCACGAAAGCCCCGCAGTGGCGACGGGAAATGCCACACCTCTTCGAAGGGGTGTGGCACTTTGCCCTTCTGTGGCTGTTTGGCTGGCCCGCAGCATCAGGGTCGGCGCAGCAAGGCTTGCAGTATCAAAGCCCGTGGCGTCTCCAGAGGGTCATTTCGTTTACCCAACACCACTGGAAGCGTCACACCACCACGGGATGGTAACCGCAAGTGGTCAGGCGACGGGGGCCAGGCTTTCCCCCCTCGCACCGGTTCGTCTGGTGCTTTGTGACTTCTGTTGTCGCCACTCTGCACGTTCCTGCACAGTCTTCCTCCTTTTCCTCCTCGTCCTCCACCTCCTCCTCCTCCTCCTCCTCCTCCTCCCTCCTCCCTCCTCCCTTCTCCCTTTCCCTCCTCCTCGTCGTCCATCATTTACCCCCAGACGTGTCGTTACGGCGGGGCGGCACGTTTCGCCTCACGGGGAATTCGCAACAGCTGGAGGAGTTCAAAATGGAGCGTTTGCCTTGGCGCCGCGCGCATTTGGTTTAAAAGCTTGCAGCGGTTTTAAGAATGGGGATGATCAGTTCATGTTCGAAATGGGGCTCTCGTCTTACGGAGCGCCGGGCACACTCGTCTTACACGGTTGCAGGAGTTGCAAGGTTGCGCCTCAAAACTGTGCAGCAGTTGCCCAGGACACGCGACGGCTGCTTTTCAACATCGGGTTCTCAACAGACGTTGAGAAACCCAACGCTGCTTCCAACACTTTTTGGATTGCGAGCGACGCGAGGGCAGCCGGGTGCCGTCAAAGGGTCGAACAGCGCAGGGCCAAGGCGTACGGCGCAACTGCCGCCAGCGAAGCGCAGGAAAAGAAGGCCACGAGGGTGGCGAAAACTGCTCCAGATTTCGTAATAAAGGGAGGGGGGTCTCATTTCGGGGGGGGGTCTCTTCCAGGCTATCTTGGAGGGCCCGAGGGGGTCTGGGGACGATGTTTTGGAGGGTTCTCTTCCACGGGGGAGGCCTGAAACGGCTTGTCTTGGAGGGTCCAGACCCCCTCCCGTTTATTACGAAATCTGGAGTACCAGGCGAAGCGAAAACTGCTTCCAGCACGCGACGGGGTGCCTTTTTTTCTTGTCCTCCGGAAGGGCGCAGCAGATCTGACAGCTGCACGGGCGCAGGGCGGCTCCTTCTCGACGCGGGGCTCGCGCTTCGCTCCCCGCGGCTCACGGCCAGACGTGCCAGCTCGTGCAGCAGCTGCACGGATGGGGGGGGGGCAGCCCCTCCGCAAGACGGCGACCTCGCCGGACAGCTCGCTGCGCTGCACGACTGGCCATCGCTCGGACGTCCATTTCCCTGCGTTTTTTGTCGGTCTCGTGCGTGCTTTTGTTTGCTCGATGGTCCAGGGTGCTCCTCGATGGCCCCCGCCGAAGGAGAAATGCACACGTCCGAGCGATGCCAAACCCTCCGCAAGACGGCGACCTCGCTGGACAGCGCGCTGCGCTGCACGATCGCACGTGCTCGGGCCTGGGCTGCGCGCTCCAGCGGAGGCGACGCGGCGCCTCTCTGTTTGGCACATGGCGGCGTCTTGCCATACCGGCAGGCCCACAGGGCGCTGGACTTTGAAAGGGGGGGCGCTGCGTTGCTTTGTTCTCGATGTTTTCCTTTTATTTGTTACGCTCCATACTTGTTTTATAATGTCAATGTTTTTCCTTTGTATTCAATGCTTTTATGTGTTACTCTCTTAAAAAAAATGTTTTCCCAGTTTCAATGTTTTCCTCATTCATTCGTTGTTCCATGGTTCCTTATTTTTTAAGCGGACGAGGAAGGCTGGCAGGAACGTGTGAGGGAGGGGGACTGAGGACGGGAGGGCGTGTTGCCGCACCTCTGACGCATCATGTGTGCGCGCGCGTGTTGACGTGTTGACTGATTTGGTCCTGCTCTCCTCCTCCTCCGCCTCCGCCTCCGCCTCCGCCTCCGCCTCCTCCTCCTCCTCCTCCTCCTCCTCCTCCCTCATCCTCCACCCTCTTCGTCCTCCCTCTCAGTCCTCCCTTTCTCTTGTCCTGCTCCTGCTACTGCCTCTACTTCTCCTCCCTCCTCCTCTTCCTCCTTCCTCGTCCCTTTCCTCCTCCTCCTCCTCCCTCTCCTTCTCCTTCTCCTTCTCCTCCTCCTCCTCCTCCTCCTCCTCCTCCTCGTCCTTCCTCTTCTCTCCTCCACCTCCTGCCGCCGCCTCTCACCCGGGCCCCGGCCCGCCTGCTGCAGGAGCGACCGCCTGCCTGGCGCCAGGACACCAATCTGCTCGACCTGGGGAGGGAGGCGACGAGGGACAGGGAAAGAAAAAAGGAGAGGGAAAGGGGGAGGAGGCGGAGGAGGAGGAGGAGGAGGAGGAGGAGGAGGAGGAATCCATATATAAGGAAATGAGAGGGAGGAGGAGGAGGAGGAGGAGGAGGAGGAGGAGGAGGAGGAGGAGGAGGAGAGGAGGAGGAGGAGGAGGAGAAAACGAGGAGGAGGAGGAGGAGGAGGAGGAGGAGGAGGAGGCGAAGAAGGAGGAGAAGAAGAAGGAGGAGAGGAGAAGGAGGAGAGGAGGAGGAGGAGAGGGGATAGGGAGAGCGCACCCGTTCGGATCAGGTCTGGTCCAGGCGCTGGTGCAGCGCAGGCCTGCACCGTGAGGCGAGAGGCGCCGCAGAAAGACCAGGGGTGGGGCGCTGCCCTCCCCCCCTGGCGCGGTCGAGGAGGACCCCGAGTGGAGAGCAAAGCGGGCACGTGGTGAATCGGCCACTCGTGGGCCCGCCCGCACACCCGGAGAGCAGTGCCGGCTGCAAATGCCTCTTGGCAAGGGAGTGGAAGAATGAGGCAGAGGAGGATGAGGAGGAGGATGAGGAGGAGGAGGAGGAGGAGGAGGAAGGAGGAGAGGAGGAGGAGGAGGAGGAGGAGGAGGGGGAGGAGGGAGAGGAGGAGGAGAGGATGAGGGAGGAGGAGGAGGAGAGAGAGGAGGAGGGAGGAGGAGAAGGAGAAGGAGGAGGAGGGAATAGGAGGAGGAAGCAGGAGGAGGAGGGAGGAGGAGGAGGAGGAGGAGGAGAAGGAGGAGGAGGAGGAACATGATAAGGAGACGAGGAAAGGAGGAACCGGAGAAACGAGGAGGAGGAAGAACATAAGAGGAGGCAGAAAGGAGGAAGAGGAGGATGAGGGCCCCCAAAAAACCTCCCTTCCCCCCTCCCCCTTCGATTCCAGGTGACCCCTCTGTCGACGCAGCGCACGGCAGGAGGGGGTCGCAAGCCGAAAACAGAGACGCGACTCGCGCGAAGGAGGACGAGGAGCAGGCAGGACAAAACGTATAATCATGGGGGAGGAGGGAGGGAGGAGGAGAGAGGGAAGACAAGGAGAAGAGAAGGCGAGACGGAGGAGGAGGAGGAGGAGGAGGAAAATAATTAGGATGAGACAGGACGAGGAGGACGAGGAAGTGGCAGGAAGAGGAGGAAGAGGAGGAGGAGGGAGAAGGAACACGTGAAGGTTCAGCGCGATGGAAGCGAGTTGGATGGGCGGCCCCTAGACAGGAGGCCGCGGGCTTCCAAATGCCTCTGCGGAAATATGGACGCGGGCCCTGCCCTCGCAGATGCTTGCCTATAATTATCTCACTTCCCGGCCCCATCAAGCAAAGTCGGTGGTTTGTGTATCCGGGCTCAGCCTGTTTTTCTTTTTTGTCAGTGAGTGTTCGAGTCGCGCAATCGTGTCTTTGAGCTGGTTTGCGATGTCCTGGCTATTTCTTCCCTGCCTCATCGCATTCGTTCGAACAGTGCCGCCCATGAACGTATTTATTGACAAGTCGTGCTCGTCTCCTTTGATCGCGTGTGTCGAACTGTGCAGTTAGGTCCTCGTCGTATCCCCCTCTTCTCCCCTCCATGTTCTCCCCTCCATGCGTCGTTGAAATGTCTTTGACGCAAAACCCATCTGCGCTCTCTGAGTCGCGCGTGCATGCGTCCAGCCGTCGGCGCACTCCATACCCATCGTCGTGCAACAGATGGCTGGCATTGCGAATGGTCTGTGTTTCTCTGCGAACGCCGCCCGCGCTGAAGCTGCTGGCAATGGTCTGCTAGCACTGGCAAGCGAGTATCCGTGCAATCGCAATCGCTGCGCAGCAAACTGACGCCTGCTTCCTTCGCTCTCCACCGCGTCGCTGCAGCACAAACTATGTCGTTCTACCTCTGTCATTCAGACCCCCATTGCGCCCAGCATGGCTGCCTCGACACATCCCTATGTGCCGGGCTACTCCCATCGAGCAGCATGCGTGCATGAGTCTCGTGCCTCCTATCCCTTCCTTCCCATTGCGCTTGTCTGTTGCAAGCGAAAACGAGATGTGCCAGTCCAGAGGGGTCAGCTCAGCTGTCCTGGGCAATGTGAGGACGTCGCCCAGGCAAGTAGGAAAGACAAACGGTTACTCTGCGTTCGCGACCTGCCTTGTTCCCAGCTCTGGACCTGCATCTCGCCCCACAAGGTGCGGTGATACAACGCGAGTAGCTAATGCTGCCATGTCGTCGTCCCCCCCATCTCTTTTGCCCAGTTCCTACCGCTCACCCATTCCATCTTCGGTAGCAGAGCCATTCCTCCATTATACCTGAGAAGCGAAACCTATTTGGATATCTCCTCTTAGACATCCCTCTTCTCTGCTGCTCTGATTTTCATATCCTCGATTATTATACTCAACGCTTCGATGCGCTCTAACTGCACCGCTGGGCCGAGAATCATCCAAGTCACTTCTGCCGGTATTCCCCACTGTGGGTCGGCTCTCCTCTTCGCCGTTGTACTACAGTAGTTCAGCAAGTCTTGCTTTCTTTTCCCTGGCAACTGCTGCTCTGATGTCCGCGTCCTCTAGTAGCTGAGGCCTGCCATCTGCCGAATGTTAGTGATCCTCTACATGCAGTTCTGAACTGGTGCCTTATGGTGTGCGTTTTCCCTCGCGCGGGCGTTTTGCCGACTCTGCCTGCCATTCGTTACATGCCCACCAAATCTGTGGAGGGTAGTTGTATCTCTCATTCGGTCCTCTGCCGTTTCTTTTGGCATCCAATCCTGCGTCGGTGCGTCTTGCCGTGGTCATTGGCTTCGTTTGTCAGATTGCTTCCGCCAGCTTCGTTCTTCGCGTCTTGTTCGTCTCTTCTCTGCTTTTTGTTGTAGGACTGCCGATATGTTTGCCAAACCTTCGCAAATCCTGTCATGCCCCTGCTGTGGTTGGGTTTAGACCATGTTCTCTCTCCTGCCTCTTCTCTCCGCCTGCTGCTCAGGGACCTGTACACGTCTAAGTAGATAGCGCTCTGCGGGGCCAGCCCCGCCTGACTCCCAGCGGGATCCGCGGCAAGGGCACTGTGTTGATCCACAAACGCCGACTCAGCATGGGTGGCACTGCACATCTGGTGACAGATCTGGGAGATCTCGGAGCGCGATACGGTCAGCTGTTGACCAATGCTCGTTCAAGTTTGTCATCAGTGGACACCCTGACAGGGCGACCACCACGTTCTTCAACAGCATCCAAATCATATTCCTCCTGATTCATCTTTCTCGAAGGCGAAACGAATGTAAAATCATCAGGTACGGCGACCTCAGGCAATCTCTCAGGACAGAGAGTCTCACGAGGTAGGCGTGGTTGCTGCACGCAAGAACGCAGAAGAACGCGTTCAGGACTATGCACCGCAACGTCTTCACGAGGGGCGTCATCAGCGTCCGGAGCACGGATAGGAATAGCATCCGCAAGACAAATTCGGTAAGGAACTTTGGCAGGAACGCGATCAGCAGGTCGAAATTCAAGACGTGCGCGGGGGCCGTCCCATCGTCGATGTCGTGAGCTGTTACCCCGAAGCCGAACACCTTGAAACTCACGCAGAACAGGTGTACAGAGAAGCCCATTAGAGACTGCAACCTCAAGTGCGTCACCTAAGGATCGCTGATGAGGAAGCTGGAGACCGAGTTCAAGTCCGCGGTGCAGAACAAGAGCATGTTGAAGATGAGCAGATCGTAGCAGAAATTGGCGGTCGCCAGGAGGGCGGGCAGCACCGGCATTGACCTCAAGCTTCAGGTCGACCATAGCAACCGCGGCACGGGCGAAGGCCTCAGAGTTCGACATGTTGAGCTTCGAATTGCGTCCAGCACGTCGAAAAGCGCCGACTCAGACCAGGCCTTGGGAACATCACGCGAACGGTAGAATGACATCGAATGGCAATCACGCAGCACCAGAAAACAACGAGTGCCTCCTGTCGGCTCTTGAGCCAAAATGGCTACGGAATCCAACGCTCTCCCTATTGATATGTGGTCCCTGTGCCCCCTGCTTTTGATCACTTGGAGCCTGTTCGCTGCAGATATTGCGCATATCCTGTACTGCGGCCGCCGGGGTCGCAACGTGGTCGATACCTGCGGCTCGTTTCCTTGGTATGGAAGTAAATTGGCCCACAATCGGATCGTGCCGTCGCAATCGCAAGCTCGTTCTGTGCGCAAGACCCCCTAACTTCCCTACCACTGTCATTTTCTGTTTCTTTCGTCCATGATCCGATGGTGTGTGTGTGATCTGACTCCCTATATGCCTTCTGCTGCTCCTCTGTGAAGTCCTCGCTGACTGTTTATGTCACCTCTGGCAATACGAATGGATCTGCATCATGCTGCTTCGCAACACCCTTCCACCCACCCGACTATCATCTGTGAAAGTTGACCGCAGTGGCGGTCGTAGGTCGGTGGTAAGCAAGTCAAGACAGATTCTTCATTGGCCAGTCGTATATCTGCAGCCCTTCACTGCACTGTTCCTGGCAGTATGTGATTGTGCCCGAATGCCTTTGTCTTTACGCGACGTGCAACGAAAAATATGTGTTCCGCATGCTTTGCGTATCCACCATCTCCCATGCTTCCCTCCAGATTGCATTCCCAAGCGGTGGCTCAGGTACGACGTCTGTGTTGATCCTGGTCCAGCTCATTTGCGTGCACTTGTCAGTACCACCGCCCGACCCATGCTCGCAGCTCCTGGCCTCGTTCGATCTGGCGGCCCAAGGGTTGCAGAAAACGATCTTCACACCTGCTGTGGGAAAGATGTGCGAACTTCCTACTGACATCTTTTCTCGCCCCCTGCTCGCTACCTGGCCTGTGCGAGCAGTAAGGCAAAACTCTTGTGAAGGTATGCTCGGTACAAGAAAGAATAGGAGGAGGAGGGGGAGGAGGAGGAGGAGGAGGAGGAGGGAAGGGGAGAAGGAGGGAGGGAGGTGGAGGAGGGGGAGGAGGAGGAGAAAGGGAGGAGGAGGAGGAGGAAGAATAGAAAGAGGAGGAGGAGGACGAGGAGAGGAGAAGGGAGGGAGGAGGAGAGGAGGAGGAGGAGGAGAGAGAGGACGATGAGGAGGAGGAGGGGTGAGAACAGAGGAGGGCGGAGGGCGAGGAGGACGACGACGAGCGGCAGCGGCAGCAAGACGCCTTGTCCAACCGCAGCTGCGCCGAGCGCGCCGTGTCGTCGTCCGCGCCCCCGCCGAACTCCACGCCCATCGCCGCCAGGAGGTTCAGGCCTGGCACCTCGGCCGCCGGGGCCCAGCAGACGCCCCGGGCATCTTGGATGTGTGGTGTCCTCCTCCTCCTCCTCCTCCTCTCCTCCTCCCTCCTCCCTCCTCCTCCTCCTCCTCGTCCTCCTCCTCCTCCTCGTCCTCCTCGTCCTCCTCGTCCTCCTCCTCCTCCTTCTCCTCTCCTCCGCCTCCTCCTCCTCCCTCCTCCTCCTCCTCCTCCCCCCCCCCCTCCTCCTCCTCCTCCTCCTCCTCCTCCTCCTCCACACCTCCCTCCTCCTCGTCCTCCCTCCTCCTCCTCCTCTCCTCCTCCTCCTCCTCCTCCTCCTCCTCCTCCTCCTCCTCCTCATCATCATCATCATCATCATCCTCATCCTCCTCTCTCTCCTTCTCCCTCTCCTTCTCCCTCTCCCTCCTCACTCTTCCCGAAATCGGCCGTCGCGACCCTGGTCCTCCTCCGCCCCCTCGTCCAGTAGCTGTTGCTCTTCGTCCTCCCTCGCCCGTCCCCCGATCTCCCTGGCTCTCGCCGTAGCGACGTGTGCATTCGTCTTAGAAGTTTGTCGTAGTTTCGAAGACGGAGGGCGGGTGGTTTTCAAATTGTGTTGCCGCCCTGGCACCGCGCACATGCGTCTTAAATGTTGCAACCGCTTCGATTATTGAGGACGGCTCCTTTGCATAACGTGGTTCTGGTCCCAGCGCCGCGCATATGATCGTCTAGCCATGTGCAACAGGTTCAAATATTCGCACGGCTGAAGTTCCAGGAATGGCTTTCTGGCACGATTAAGGGATGTCAGGATGCAATAGTCGAGTTGATTTCTGGCGTTGAACGCCCAAGAACGGTGTTCTGGCACGAGTGATGATTTAAATTACCCCAGTGCGACCCCACCTAGAAGCTGGAGCCCCTAGGAAAGCAGCATTAGTTGCTATGCTATACTACGCAATGCTATGCCATGATATGCCATGCTATGCTGCGCTATGCTATGATATGTTATGCTATGCTATGCTATGCTGCGCTATGCTATGTCATGGTATGCTATGCTATGATATGTTATGCTATGTTATGTCATGCTGCGCTGTGCTATGCTAAGCTATGCCATGCTATGCTATGATAAGCTGCGCTATGATATGCTATGATATACTTTGCTATGGCATGCTATGCTGCGCCATGCTATGCTATGCTATACTATGCTATGCTATGCTGTGCTATGCTATGCTTGGCTATGGTATGCTATGATGTGCTATGCTAGTGCAGCGATGCGCGATGCTAAGCTAAGCTAAGCTCAGCTAACCCTCTAGGCAGAGCCTAGGTAGGGAATTAAACCCATGCTAATATGCTATGCTGCGCTATGCTATGCTACGCTATGGTATGCTATGCTGTGCTCTGCTATACTACAGCTCAGCGAAGCTAAGATGAAGGTAAGCTAAGCTAAGATAAACCTGAGCTAAGATGAAGCTAAGCTAAGCTAAGATGAAATGAACTAAGCTAAGATGAGATAAGCAAAGCTAAACTAAGGGGGCGCAGCTGGGGGGAACCGCGGGGCGGATGCCGGGGGAACCGCCCGGGGCGCTTTCCACTGCCCGGCCCCTTTAAGCTAAGAGAGTAAGAACCCTCTAGGCAGAGCCTAGGTAGGGAATGATTTGCACGACGCAGCAATCACGTCGATTCGCGGTTTCGACGTCCCAGAAACGGTGTTGTGGCACGGTTCCCGATTCTCAAACGGTTGTCTTCCGAGTGGGCACTTCCCGCAATGAAGCAACATTCTTGTAGAGACACATGCGGAGGGAACTTGGTGGGAGGGTTTATCGCAGCATCGTTGATGCGACTGTGGTTTGCACTTTTTCCTCCTCCTCCTCCTCCTCCTGCTTCTCCTCCTCCGCCTCTTCTTCCTCTTCTTCCTCCTCCTCCTCCTCCTCCTCCTCCTTCGTTATCTTCTTCCGATATAAACGACCTGCAATCTTCCCCCATCCTTTCTCCTGCCCACGGCGACGGCGGGCGGGGATCCCCGCCGACCCCCCGCGCCGAGCCCAGCGCCGGGGACGCCGCGTGCACCGTCCGCTTCTCCGCCTGGGCGGGGCCGCGCCGGAAGGGCGTGCGTCGCGCCGCGCAGCGTCGCGACGCCGACTCGAGCGCCCGCCCTCGCCATCCACTTCCTGCGCCCCCGTATCCTGCCCCTCCTTGTGTCCTCCCCATGCTCGTCCCTGTTTTTCCTCGCGCTCCTTCTGAGCCAAAGCCCTCAGGCTGCCATGTCGCATGGGGCTGAAGCCCTCCACGCCCCTCCTCCTCCCCCTCCTGCCTCCTACCTCTCTCTCTCTCTCCTCCTCCCCTCCTCCTCCTCCTCCTCCTCCTGCCTCCTCCTCCTCCTCCTCCTCTGCTCCTCCTCCTCCTCCTCCCTCCTCCTCCTCTTGCTCTCCTCCTACTCCTCCTCCACCTCCTCCTCCTCTCCTCCTCCTTCCTCCCTCCTCCTCTTCCTCCTCCTCCCCCTCCTCCTCCGCCGCTCCTCCTCCTCATCCCCTCCTCCTCCTCCTCCACCTCCTCCTCCACCTCCCCCTCCTCCTCCGCCGCCTCCTCCTCCTCCTCTTCCGCCTCCTCCGTAGCGTTGGCCAAGCTCTGATTGACGGGGCTCTTATCGTCTGAGACGTCGGAAGACGAGAAATAAACCTTAGTGCGACGTGCGTGTGCGAACTCTGATTGACGGGGCTCTTATCGTCTGAGACGTCGGAAGACGAGAAATAAACCTTAGTGCGACGTGCGTGTGCGAACATGGAGCACGAGTCCACCCGCTGGCCCCGGCAGGGTTACCCCGCTGCCATGACGACAAAACGGTCCCCCTCCGATGGGCCCGCCTGGGATGCTGTGGACTCGTCGTGTTTATTTGATTGTTCGCTCTTCTCTTTTTTGTTTTCTCTCTCTCTCTCTCTCTCTCTTTCTCTCTTTCTCTCCCTCTCTGTCTCTCGCTCGAGAAAGAAAGATAAAGGTATTGTCCCTCAGTAGCGTGCGATCCTGCTCCTCCTCCTCCTCCTCCTCCTCGTGGACCCCCTCCCCCTCCCAGGCGGCCCCAAAAAGGGCAGATGACGCCCACAAGCCTCCACCTCGAAAGTCAGAGTGCGAACCTTATCCCCCCTCTTCCTCCTGCTCCTCCTTCTCCTCCTGCTCCTCCCCTTTTTTCTCCTCCTCCTCCGCCTCGTCCTCCTCCTCCGCCTCCTCCTCATCCTCCTCTTCCCTCTTCCTCCTCCTCTTCCTCCCCCTCTCCCTCCCCCTCCTCCTTTCCCTCCTCCCCCTTCTTCTCGCTCTCCCCTACAACCCACGACGGCGATGCGCGGAACGTCCCGATGCCGTCCCTCACTGCACGCTGATAGCTGTTGGCGGGCACCATGTTGATGATGGGCCTCTGGACCACTGCATGGCCAGGCGTGGGAGTCCCACTCTTGGCCACACCGAAGGCCCCCACGAGGACCTTCTGGCTCCCGACCTTGAGGATCCGCTCATCGTCAGTGGGCGCGGCCGGGCCCAGCTCCCCGAGCTTGGCAGCGATGCGATACCACTCTGGCTTCGAGCACGCCTGACTAGCTGCTCGCGGGACCTCCTCTGGCCACTCAGCCTTCGGGGGCAGAGCGAACGTGGGCTCGGCGAGCCAGCCTGCGGCCCGCTCGTCTGCAGTGTCCAGAGCGCGGACAGAGGCGGCGACGCCGCGCGCCAGTAGCCCTGGCAACACACCGCCCAGAGTGAGGGGCAGGTCCCCCGAAGCCACTACCTCGTTCCAGTCGGGGTCTCGAGCTCCTGGGCTGCGTCCTGCGCGAGGTAGGCCGCGGCCTCCCTGACCACCCGCATGGAGGTCTCCTGCGCGGCGGGCAGCGGCCCCCGTCGGCACTGGCCGACCTTTGCTGTGGCCCGCGCACTGGGAGTTCACCGCGTGCACGATCAGCACCGTCCAGCCCTCAGCCACAGTCGAGCCCAGTCCGTCAGGACTGACCTCTCCTCGACTCAGCCACTCGGCGCGACGCGCCAGGAAGTCGGGGGAGTCGGGGACCGGCAGCGGCAGCTCCTCGCGATCTCTCTCGAGGCGCACGCGCTGTGCTGGCGGAGCGCTCCTGATGAACCGTCCGACGTCCCCCGGCGCTCCGTGCGCCGCGTCGTACAGTGCCGCGATCAGCTGGAACCGAATACTGACGTTGCCCACGCCTGCCAGCAGCTTCCGCTAGCGCCGGCTCTGCGCGGGCCCTCGCCTGCCGCGCCCCACCTCAGCGGCAGTCCGGGGCGCCGTCGCCGCTGCAGCTGCGGAAGGGGGGCCGCGCTCACGCCGCGCGCCAAGGAACAGCGCGGGGCGGCACGATCTCCCGAGGACCCACGCAATCCCCCCCCCGCTCCGTCCGCGGCGAGCTCAGCGGCTCGCGGCTGGGACCCAGGGCCGCAGCTGCGTCCTGCCCAAGCCGGCCCCTCGACCCCGAGCCGCTCCTGCTCCTCGCCCCCGACCCGCTCGATTGGCCAACCAGGAGAAGCTCGCGCCCGACCTCTACTCGCGCTGGCTATCGTCCGGCTTCCTTCTTCGGGCGCGCAGCCTTCGCCTCCTTCCAGGACGGGCACCACGGGCGGTCGCCTGGTGCCGCGGCTGCGCTGGCCTCCGAGTCTGCGCGGCTGCGCTGGCCTCCGAGTCCGTCCGCAGCTCCACCAGCCGTGCGGGCGGTTCGCCTGCTCCTGCCGCGGGGGCCCGGTCTGCCTGCGCGCGCTGCGTCGCCGATTGCTTACCCCGCGCCTGGCGGCTGGCTGTCGACAGCACTCGGCCCGCCAGGATACTGAGCGCCTCGGCCGAGCTGGCCACAGGCATCCCCGCCAATGTCTGGGCCCATGTCTCCGCAAGGGCATGGCTTGCAGGAGCCGCTCCCCCCCGGACTGGAGAGGGCCCCCGGCCAACCCCTTAGCCCTGCGCCCGCTTGTCTGCCAGCCGCCGCATCAGCTCGGCAACGTTCAACTCGCGGGTCTCGACGCGCTAAGCGGCGGCCTCCTCGTCCTGCGTGGCCCCAGCTGGCATGCTCTCGCTGGGGATGAGCGTGAGCCACCTGGCGCTCCGCCAGTGGCCGTCGCGAAACGCGATCGTCCTGGCCTTGAGTTCCTGCCGGGGCAGGTCGCTGACCTCCACGACCTGGCCCCGCAGCAGCCCGTCGATGGCCTCGCCGAAAATTCGCGGCGCGCGCGCGCCTCGTCCATCTCCCGCGACCGCGGCGGGTGCGCCACGAAGAACATGCGTTGAGGTACTGCGTGACGCACGGGCTCAGCGGGTCGACGGGATTCGCGTCGGCCAGCAGCCAGATGAATTGGCCCCTTAGGTGCGCCAGCCCAGCACGCCCAGCCGCTGCTTCGCAATCTTCTGTTAGAGGTCGCGCTCGACGTTGACCCCCTGGCACGCGTCCCGGCGGAGGGCGACCTCGCTCTCCTCGCCGAACTCCGCTGCGCCGTCGCCGCCCACATGCTGAGGCCAGCACCTCGGCCAAGCGGTCGCACCCTGCGGTGGCGGCCGGCCGGGAGGTCGAGCCTGCGGCGGCGTGCGCTCGGTTCGCCAGAGCCCGCGCGGCGCCAGGGGCCGCTGCGTTCTCGGCCGCCGCGCGGCCGCTCGGCGCAGGGACTCCCGACCTCAAACGCTGACCCAGCTGCGCTGGCCTGTCGCCCAGCTCGGGGTCCTCGAGGGCTCGCTCGAGGTCGACCGCCTCGCTGGCCAGCCCTGGCGCGCCCGCACCTGGGCGCGAGGCAGGGCCGCGACGGCGCTTGGCCAGAGGGGGCTCCTCCCCTCCGGGGCTCTCCCCAGGTGGGGGGCGGCTCCAGCGGCGGTCGCAGCGGCGTCGGCCTCTGAGGCGCTCCCACGCCGGCCGCGCCAGCAGCGCTGGGGGGGCCTGCCCCGCTGCCCCCAGTGGCGACGCGCAGCCCTCCAGCAGATCGCGGCGCCAGCTCGAGCCCCTCCTTCACCTCCTCCAGGTCCGGCAGGTTGACCAGCCGCCACACGTCGAGGTGCTCGATGCCTCCGGCGCCGTCTGGGCACGTCGCCTCGCACTGCTCCTGCGTGCGCCCGAAGAGGTGGTGCAGCGTGCCGTGGCCCCGGCCGCCGCGGTGGGCCACCGCCTGAGCATACCAGGCAACATAGCCGTCGCTCGCGCCAACATGCCTGGCCTCGACGAACCGGCCCGCGGCGGCGCAGTCGCCCTCGCACGCACCCTGGTCGTACACCACCTCGAGGCACAGCAGCTCCACCCACTGCGGCTGGCCCGCGGAGCCCCGGACCTTCGCGAGCACGTGGTCGCCGGGCTCCACCTGCAAACGTCTCGACCAGCGACCAGCTCGCCACGCGACCGCGCGTCGAACCAGGCTCCTCGCGGGAACGGCCACGCAGACCCGAGGCCGCGCATCCGCCAGGTGCCAAAGGTGGAGCGCTCACGGCGCCCCCCCCCGCCACGGCCCGGAACGTGGGAGGGGGTCCGCGGCGGGCGCGGGTGGCCTCGCAGGCCTGATAAGCGACCAGCTCAGCCTGGGGCTGCGCTGGCTGGCCGCGGGCCACCAGCCTCTCTCACCGCCAGCCCCGTGACCCAGGGGCCGGGGCGGGCGAGCCGAAAAAACTGCAGGGTTTAAACGCGGTTCAAACCGCGGGTTCATTTCGGGAGGGGAGCCGCGTAGGCTTGAGACTTCCCTGGCGAGTCTATGTCGTCTTATTGCGTTAGATGGTTTTGATGCCTTCAACGGCGTCGTTTCGGAGTTGGAGGTATGATGAGGCCCGCGTCGGGGCAGCATTTCGGAGTAAGGGGTCTGATGGTCCTCGTTGGGCCTCCAGGAAAATGGTGATGCCATTTTTGTTTTTGTAAGGCTGCAGCCACAGAGGGTTTGTGTAATCGGTGACTATATCACCTCGCAGTCGAATCTGCGTTTTTGTCGCGTCGTGCGTGCCAGGCTGTGTGTAACGGGGCGCGGCGCACAATGCCAGGGGCAATTCGTGTTCATGCTCTTCTTACGGCCCTAGTGGGGGTCGGCGGAATGCGCGAAGCTTGGAGGATGTCTCGAGTGCTTCGAGGGTCGTCAAATGAGTAAAACAGACCCCCTAAGTATATCCCCCCCGTTTGGTGGCAACCGCATGGGCCTCGTCCCTTAACGCAACGCTCCCTTGAACATACCCCCCCCCGATCAGAGGGGGCAACGAGGGCCCCCCCCCAGAGGGGGTAACAAGGACCCCCGCCATGGATCCCCCCCCCCGCCAGAGAGGGTAGCAAGCGTCCTACGTTCCGTAACCATTTTGGCTCACATTTATTTCGGCCTTGCTTTTGCTCACGATGAGTTCGCCTTCGGAGGCCTTCTTGAGCGAGGAGGAATGGGGCGTGCCCTCCATTCCGACTCCAGATGCTCGGCTGGATGGCGGCGCGGAGGGCGCGGAGCTTCCCGTCGAGTCGGGGGAGGAGGAGTGGGGCTGGGGCGCCGACAGCCCTCGTCGGGCGCCGAGCCCCGAGCTGGTCGGCGACCAGCAGCTGATGTTGCACCAGCCCGCGCCTGCGCGCGCCCAGGGCCCGCTGGAGGCGGCAGCAGGCGGTGGCGGCCCGCCTGGCCCTCCTGCAGGGCCGCTGGCCAGCCTGGCGCGGGTGCTGGTGGAGAAGCGGTACCCTGATGACAGCGTCGTCTCGCTGACGTCGGCGACCGCGATGGCAGGCCGACTCGGGATCGCGCCTGGGCATTTCAGGGAGCGCGTCTACGCAGCTGCGTACTCGGCGTTTGCCGCTTCTCAGGAGCACGTGTTGTCCACCATTGTGTGGAGGCATTGGGTTCTCGTGGGCAGCACGGTGCTGTCATCGACCCCACGGTGTTCTTCCGAAAGCGGAAGTACGACGGCACGAGGATGAAGCTCACGACCACCGTGTCGCAGGTTTACGATGACGATGTCATCAACGAGCGCACGACGGGCAGTCGCGAGATCTTCGTCGTGAAGGGCGAGTTCGGCTTCCTGATGCGACGGAGGGCCGCTGGTGCATCGAGCTTCCTGCACATGTGCGGCACCGTGCCGACGCACCTTTCCGTTCTCGACGGTTCTTCCGCTGAGGTCGTGCACGCGGCTTTGCGCAGGCAGCTGGATTTGCGTTGTGATGGCGTGCTTGACCTACGGGTACCCAGGCAGATGGACATCGTATGCTGCGACGCGGCATCAGGGAACCTGCGAAACGAACGTGCGTTCGAGCAGGCGTTCCCTCGGAGGTCTCAGCTGATCTTGCTGTGCCGCGCTCACAAGAAGAAGAAGGTAGCCGAACAGGGGCTCATCACGATCAGGCCTTTCGACACGAACCTTGTTCGCTGCCAGATGTCCCTCACGGGCGACCACGTCCTCGAGTTGCGGCACCAAGCCAGGTTGCTCCATGGAGAGCAGCTCGTGGTCAAGAGGGGTGTGCCTCCAGCAGATGCCACTGCGCACCGCGACGCCATATGGGACCTCTACTTCGCGGGCTCAGCTGACCCGACCCTGGCGTACCGCAGGGAGGTGGTCACGCGCTTGTACAACGGAGACATACGTAAGCATGGCGTCATTGAGCACTATTGTAGAGGGTGCTGCTCGTCTCCTAGACACACGCTGTATGTGATGAGGAGGTTTGGGGCTGCTTCGCTGTTCGGAAAGATTGACGTTCTCAACAGGGCCAATTGGGCTAACAAGATGCGAAGTCACCGATCCATCGGGCTTCCCGCATCTGTTCATGGCCTCTTTCAGGCAGCTTACTTGCGCACGATGCCTGCGAAGCCAGCCCGTGCGCCAGGTGCCGCTGCTGGCGCGGGCGCTGGTGCGCCGCCCCCAGTGGGCGCCGCTGGGCTTCTTGCTGGGGGCGACGGTGCCGACCTTGATCGGCCAGAGCCCTCGGCCGACGGCCCAGCCCCCGAGGGCGCAGCTGACGTGGATGACGTGAACGCGTTCAAGGAGCAGCAGGACCAGCGAGTTGCTGGCAGCCGCGCCTGGGTGCTCAGCGGCACGATGGCGGACGACCTGTTCATCGCATCGGTGCTGGCTCGTCGCACGGACCAGTACGTGACGAATCAGCTGGCCACCAGCGGTTCGGGTTTCGAGAAGGCGCAGCAGCACAAGGTCTCCCTCGGAGAGCCGAGGACGTACCAAGCGTGGTTGGCGCATGAGGATGCCGACGCCCTTGAGCTGCTCACGGGCGCTTACGCGTCCATCTTCGACGCCCGATCGTGGTCGCCATTGCAGGTGCGAACGGAGGCGACGGCGCTGAAGCTGTACCGCATGCTGTCCAGGATGGGCGCGGTTGCATACCAACTGGCCCACAGGACCAATCGGACTTGGCCGATGCCCCTGCTGTATTCTTTGAAAGACCCTTCTCGTTTGCAGGACCTTCGCGGCACCAAGCCGTGCTGTCTGGACCGCTACACGCTGGATTTCGCGAGGTTCTACGCAGGGCGCCTAGATTCGCCAGAGGCGGCGAATGAGCTGAAGGGCGCCTTGGCCATGGCTGACATGGACACCGCCGACGTCGAGCGGGTGCATTCGGTGAACCAGAGGGGCGCGCGCTTCAGGGTTTGGACGCAGGTCGAAATCCTAGAGGAGGTGAGCGCCCATTTCACGGCGCATTCGGCTGGTGATTTCGACGCCGATTCAGCACCTTCCTCGACAGACCTTCGGAGAGGCCCCGCCCAGAGACGGATGCGCGAAGCGCGTAATCCGCGGCGCGGGCACAACAGCCTGCAGCAGTGGATGTGGCGCGCATTCGTGCACGTGAACGGCGTGTACATATCTGATGGGTCTTCTGCAGAGTTGTCCGAGATGTATTCTCAGCTGGAGGGGGCCGAGCTTGAGCAATACAGGCTGTTGGCTGCCATCGCGAGGGATCGCCATCTGTCTGGGGAGCGTGGCTTCGACAGGCGTCGAAGAGCACCAACAGCGCAATCGGCATCGGACGGCGTGGCAGCTCTCGGCTTGGAGCCGACCCGCCTTCCTCCGCAGCGTCCAGCAGCAGGCGGCGGTGCGCCGCAGAGGTCCTCATTCACCGACGCGCGCTCGCTGATCCTGGACGCTGCTGTGGCTGCTCGGGAGGCGGCTGCCCGCCGACGTCGCAGGGATGGCGCGCATGAGGCCCGCGTGGCGGGCGCGGTGCGCGACGCCGCCCGCGCGTCCAGGCAGGCGCAGGCGCAGGGCGGCAGCATGCTGGCGGTCGTGGATCGAGCCGCAGCCCCCGTCGGCGACGTCGAGGTCCAGGTCGACACGGGGGCGGTCCTCAGGTATCGCAGGCGCGCGCCCAGCGTGGTTGCGGACGCTTGCCAGAACTTGGGCCGCGGCGGCGGCGAGTCGATACCGCAGCTGGCCTCGAGGTGGGAAGGCATGCACAGGACCCTCACGAAGTCCACCGTGCCACGCCTGGACCCCGTTGCGTCTGACCGCAGGGTTTGCCACGAGGCCGAGACCTGCATCCACGAGGGCGACGGCAAGGATCTGCGGCTGATCGAGCGGCACATCAAGGCTGCGTTCGCCAGCCTTCGCGGCCTGTCGGGCAAGAAGGTCGCCAAGGCACCCGCGCGCCCCCTTGGAGGCTTCTTGCAATCAGGATGTCGTCGGCGTCCGCCGAGGGCCGCGGTGGCGTCCTTGAAGGCTTCGGCCCTCGAGGACTTCCCTTGGCTTTCGCGCGCGTTCAGGGGGTAGGGGTCGCGTGGCGAGATGGCCTTAGGAAATCTTCGGGGCACCGCAACCAGGGTCTTCCAGGGGGCAGGATCAAGCCTTCGTATGATTCGGGGGCCTGGTGGAGACTTCTCGAGGGCAGGCGTCGGTGGGGGGGGGGGTACGAAGAGGCCAGCGCATCAGATCATCACCTGCTGTTTTTGGGCGTTGTGGGGTCCTCTCACGTTGAATGTGCCCCGTTGGCCCGTTGCGTTTGGCCGCCGCCCGCGGCCTTCGAAGGCCGCCTCGAGCAAATGCGAACGAGGCCACAGGGGCTTCTCAGAGAGACATCCGAGAGGGCTTCGGATCGTCTTAGGAGGTAGGGGTGCGTTGCCGCACCCTTATCGGGGGGAGGGGGCGATCGGATTCCCATTGGGCCCTCCGCTGTGTCGAGTGCCCGTTGTCTCCAGGTCTTCTGAAGTACACCTCGTCTGTCCGAAGATGGGGAGGGGGCTGGAGCGTTTCTGATTCGGCGCTCTCGTCTGCATTGGGTGGGGGGGGGGGGGGGGGGGGGGGGGGGAGAGGGTGGGGGGGGGGGGGGGTCGGCCCAGGGCGCCCCCCACCTGCAGTCCTGCGGCCCCGCCCCCCACATCTCCCTAGGACGCCTTGGTCGGCAACCCAGCCGTTTGAAGGGTTCGGCGTCCCGCGTGTGTAAGACACCCAGGGGCCACCGAAGCGGTTCCATCACATCCCTGGCAGGCTTCCGTTTCAGGGCTCAGG